ATTTGGCTAAGTAAAACGGGAGAATCTTCAGATTGGCTCGAGCTAGTGTGCTCAACTAAGTTGTGGCAGCACGGGTAAGTGCTTGAGGAATTAAACAGTGATTTCGGACAACCCCCAGAGCAGTTCTTAGCACGTTCGAGGACGAGCGTATGTTTAAGTGGGAGAAAATATAACGACCCGACTGGTCGTTTTGAGCTCTAGCGCATCGTTCAGCAGTTTGAGGCTTCAGGTATTATGACTAGTACGCGTGGTCAGAATTGAAATTTCGGAAGTTCAAAGTTGATTTGAAAAGAAATTCTCATTTCGGAAGCTTTAAGTTGGAAGAATTGAGTATGGCTGGATTTTTGAGTAAACGATCTCGGAATCAGGATTTGAAGGTTCCAACAGGTTCGTCTGATGAATTTGTACTTATGCGTATGTCCGGATCGGGTTTTGGATGACCCGGGAGCGTTTCAGCGCCTATTGTGGAAGTTGGCATTTTGAAAGAATTTCATAAATTTGGGTTGAAGTGCATTTCAATGTTATCAATGTCCATTTGGGATTTCGAGTGTGGAAATAGCTATGTATGGTGATTCTGGTATTGGGAGCGCGTCCGGAAGTGGATTCGGAGGTCCGTAGGTCATTTAGGAGTCATTTGGCTAAAGCTAAAAATTTGAAGGTTTTTGAGAAGTTTTACCGGAAGTGAACTTTTTGATATCGGGGTCGGAATCCAATTCTAGAAGTTGAAGTAGGTCTGTAATGTCAATTATAACTTGTGTGCAAAATTTGAGGACAATCGAACGTGATTTGATAGGTTTCGGCATCGAATGTAGAAATTTGAAATTCTAAAGTTCACTAAGCTTGGAATGGGGTGCGATTCATGAATTCGACGTTGTTTCATGTGATTTAAAGGCTCGACTAAGTTCATAATATATTTTGGGACGTGTTGGTATAATTGGTTGAGGTCTCGAGTACCTCGGGTGGATTCCGGTTGGTTAACGGATCGAGTTTGGACATGGCAGAAAAGATGAGGCAGCTGATATCTGGTGTGATCGCACCTGCGCAATAAGGGCCACAGGTGCGAGCCAGTGGTCGCAGGTGCGGTTTGGGCGAAGCTGGGCAGTGACCCCAGGTGTGAAGGGTTGTCCGCACCTGCGAGGTCGCAGATGCGGAGATGCGTCACATGTGCGAAAGTGAGAGAAGAATCTGGGAGCGCAGGTGCGAGGGTATGTCCACACCTGCGAAGGCGCAGATGCGACGAAGAGGCCGCAGGTGCGGAAGTCGGGGTTGGGCAGTGTCTCCTTCAAAGCGAGGGTTTGGCTTATCTCATTTCATTTTCGCCCATGGGAGCCGATTTTGGAGCACATTGGAGTGCCATCTTCATCAATCATAATGGGGTGAGTGTTTTCTTCACAATTTTGAGTTAAATACATGTGTTTATATTGATTTGAACAGGGAAATTAGTATAAATTGTGGGGTTTTTATACCTAGAATTTGGTATTTTGGATTTTGACCACGAATATGAGCATGGAATTAGAAATAAATCATATATTTGAGTTCATAAGGTTATGAGTAATGATTATTTTCGAAAAATTTTGGAATCCGGGCACGTGGCCCGGAGGGTGATTTTATCAACTTTTCGAACGGAGTTGGAAATTATTATAAAATAATTAATTATGAGTATTAGAGTATATTTTTATTCGGTTGCATAATATTTGACTAGTTTTGGAGCGACGAGCATCAATTTGAATTGTCGGAGCGGCCTTGGAGCCGGTTATGGAATTTCGGAGCAAGGTAAGTCTCCTTTCTAACCTTGTAAGAGGAAATTAACCCCATAGGTGAACTAAATTATTGTGTGCTTCTATTTGTGGGTGCTACGTACGCACGAGGTGACGAGAGTCCGTACGTAGCTACTAGCTATGCCTATGTCCGAGTAGTTTTAGGCTCACATCATGCCTTGTTGATATTGTTATTGATTTATGTTTATTGTCTGCCTTGAGAGGGAGCGAGATCGAGTTTGCTTATTAAATATTTTTGAAAGGAGTGGAAATTGAAGAACGTAAGATTTAAAAGGGTTCGTTTGAACTTCGTAATTTTGAAAAAGATTGAGTAATGCTAATGGCTTAAGAAATCTATGTGTAACCGCGTCGCATGTATGTTTCACGAGCGGGGTAATTTTCTTAAAAAAAGCTACAAGCTGAATTTTCCTTATTTTGAAAAGAATCAAGAAAGAGATATGATTTTAATGTTAAATTTATATTTGACCGCGTCACACATATGATTCGCGAGCGGGGTATTTCCTTCTACCACTCTTATGGGATCGGGCCGTTCGCCTCAGCAGGATTTATGTACCACACTCTCATGGGAGAGGGCCGTTCACCTCGGCAGGTTAATAGATGCATCTATGGTTTGCGTCGTTCGACCATCGGCAATGCACAATTTACTTTTATGTTGGATCGGGCCGTACGCCTCGGCATTTTCTATATATATATNACAAAGAGAAAAATTATACTACGTATTTTATACTTGTTTGTTTCATATATTTACTCCGTCTTACATTCATTTACTTCTTTGCTGTACCTGATATTATTGGACCACTAATAAGTATCGAAGTCGACCCCTCGTCACTACTTCTTCGGGGTTAGGCGGGATACTTACTGGGTACAAGTTGATTTACGTACTCATGCTAAACTTGCTGCACATTTTTGTGCAGGTACACATATGTTTAGCGGCCTTGTGGACACAGAGGCGCGATTATGGCGGGGATTTAGGTGAGCTGCATTCTATAAGACGCACCGCAGCCAGCAGAGTCTCCTTCAGAGTATTGTATTTTCTTTCCTGTCCAAGTTGTATTCCGACATTTATTGTATTTTATTTTAAATTTCTAGAAAAGGCTCATGCACTTGTGACACCGGGTTCTGGGATGATTATGGGATGTTCGCTTTTGGAATCGGAAAATATTGTTATTTATTCTGTAAATTCATCTTTTACTAGATAAATTAAAGTAAATTTATGATTTTAAAAATATTAAAATGAGGATTTAATTAACTGTTTAGTGTTGGCTTACCTGACAGTGGAGTCCGGCGCCATTATGACCTTTATGGATTTTGGGTCGTGACAGACCCGCAAAACCATTTAACTCGATAATTATGATAGTCTTGTTATGTTTATTTGTATCTCATTATGTGCATGTATATAAAAAGAGTGAGTACCACCCTATTTGTCTTATTAAGAATAATAAGATGTTTGAATCTGAATATATTTATGGATATTAAAGAATTGTATTTATATTTAAATACTAGATAATTCAATTTTTTTTCTTTTTCAATATCTAATTATTTATAATTTATTTTGATTTAAAAACTAAAAAAATATAACATTCAAATTAAATAATAATAAATATTACATCTACAAAAAATTATGAAAAGATATAAATTATTCTTTGCTGACGGTGGTGGAGAACTGGTCATGGTTAGTGGAGGGAGGTTCGCAATGATAATCGTGATAGGATGATAGTTTAGAGATGACAAATATGCGATGGTAGCTGATGGTGATGATTATACGATAGAGCCTCATGGTAAAGATAGTTGGTGGTGATAACTAGTGGTGGATATGAATAGTGGTGGTAGTTGTGTAATGGAGGCTAGTTGTGTAAGTGGTTGGTATTAGTAGCTTATGATGGAGGTGGTTGCTGATTGATGGTAGTGGAGGCTAATAGTAAATTGTTGGCAATGCTGAGACATTGTGGAGGTGATTGGCAGTTGACATAGTCGGCGGTGGTATTAAATAGAATAGTAATTATTTATTCCATTTACATTAAATCCTTAAGTTAGTGTCTTAATAATTTGAAGAGTATGTACAAGTTCTAAATAATTTAAAACCTATTAAGAACTTTAGTGGTTGTGAAAGAAAACAAAAACAACTACACTTAATTAGTTGAGCTGTGAATGATTCAGATTTAGACCATAATTAAGTGAAGTTAATTAAATTTTAATAATTCAATTTTAATTTTTTTCCCCTTAAAATTATATACAACTATTTATGACAGTTCTTAGATCATAAATTTTAATTATTTTTTTCTCTTAAACTCGATATCTAATCCAATAGCATTATATAAAATTGAATGATGGGGTTAATATTTATGTAGTTTTATTTTCATAACAAAAACCATTAATTTCCCATTAGCAACCACACGTGTTTGTTACGCAGCTTTTCCGTGACTAAAACCGTGACTAGAAGCATGTTCGGACCGGCAGCTACAGCTCATCAATGACAATAAAGAGGCAATTTTTTTTTTATCATTGATGGGTCAGGGCCAGCGTGGCATCGCCACTGTGAAAATTATACAAACTTTAAAAAATCCGCCACCCAACGCGTCGTTCGTTTGTTGCCCATGCGCCCCTTGTAAAACTCCTGCTCCATTTGCAATTCAACCATTTTTCTTCCATAAGCTATTCAAACCAAACATTTGCTACATCACTCAAGTACTCGTTGATTTTTTTAATGTTTTTACGTCCAATGATGCAAGTATAAGATTGTTAGAGCATAAATGGACTGGGGAGATGAGCGTTGTAGTTGGCATTGCGTTAGTTGCAGCTATCAGAGGAGTTAGTTATAGTTAGTTACAAGTTAGTTAAAACAGTTAGTTAGGAAGCGCACTGTAGAAGAATGAAATTAACATTTGTTGCTCAATAGTTGTGATATAAATATATTGATACATTGTAATTGGATTCATTGATCAAATAAGATCATTCTATTCTCTCTTCTCTTCTCATATTTCTTTCAGCTATTTTTCTCGATTTTACCCTGAACTAACTACCATCTTCTTCGAGATTAGCTCCTAGACTAACAAATTCCATTGCGATCTTTACTGATTGCATAAATTGGTATCAGAGCAAACGATTCTCGGAATAATCAACATGACTTGAAGCAAAAATCAAGACAAACCAGTCGACGAAATGGAGGATAAGCTGTCACAGATTCAAGAGTAGTTACCAAATATGATGGATGGCATGATAAGTATGGGTGAGAGGAATGCGCAAGCTGATAAGGAATTGCTAGGCCCTAAGGAAGCTATTGGAATCATCAATCAAAGGGAAAAAGAACAAATTTTAGCCGAGTCTTCGATTAACAGAGGGGAACCAATAGAGGTCAGATACAAGGAATCACACAATGGTTCTGCTTATCAAGGAAATGGGAACTTCTTTACTCGATTCTCAAAACTAGATTTTTCTCAATTTTCTGGTATAGATTTGCGTACATGGCTGTATAAAGTTGATCAATACTTTTCTATGGATGATGTTATGTTTGAACAAAGGGTGAAAGTGGCATCTATTCACATGGATGGTGATGTTATTGCTTGGCATAGATCTTATGTGAAATCTAGAACTTCCACTATAGACTTATCATGGACTGAATATGTACTAGCTTTAAATAAAAGATTTGGGGATAATTTTGAGGATCTTATGGAGGCTTTGAAGACTATAAGTCAAACTGATGGGGTTAAGGAATATCAAGCAGAATTTGACACATTATTAACTGCTGTTAATTTGACAACTAAGAATGCTATTAGTTATTTTCCAGGGGGACTTAAATCAGAACTGAATAAAGCTGTTAAAACTCAAGCACCAAGAACTTTAATGCAAGCCTATAAGATTGTCAGATTATAGGAGGAAATTTTTGATGCCCAAGCCAAAACTTGGGATTGAAACCTATTTCCAGATCTTTTCACTCCAACTCTAATCCTATTTTACTTACTCCAATTGCCTTCAGATCACATAATTACCAAAAAACCTTTGCACCAAATTTCACTCACCAAAGAAATATTGATAGCAACTCAAACAAACTAAACAGATTAGGAAGGAGGCTAACTGTCTGAAATGGATGAAAAAAGGCCAAAGGTTTGTGCTTCTTTTGTGATAAAAAATATGAGATGGGGCATAAATGCAAGTCTAGGAAGCAGTTTTTTATGGTGGAGGTGGTAGATAAAGAAACAACCGCATCAGTTGAGGTTGAGGAGGAGGTATTGACCCAAGAAGTTGTAGAACCTGAAAATGAATTTATGACTATATCTTTGCAAGCTTTTATTTGTGTCTGGTTACAAAACAATTAGAGTCACTGGCTATCATGAGAAGAGGCCCTTACAAGTTTTGATTGATACTGGGAGTACACACAACTTTATTGATCAGGAGTTGCTAAGAATCTGGGTGCCAATTTAGTTATATAGTAGAACAATTTATCAGTGTAGCTGATGGTAGGAAAGTACGAACTGTTGTTTTGTGCAAAAACCTATAATAGTTACTGTAAGGAACAACATTCTCATCACATTTTCTATTGTTACCATTAGGGAATATGGATATAGTACTAGGAGTGCAATAGCTTAGCACCTTAGAAAGAATCCTGTTTGATTTCAAGAACAGAACCCTTGAATTTGTACACCAAGGAAAGAAGCATGTATTGAGGGGTGCTAACAACCAACTGAAATCAACTAAAGCTACTTCCTTGCCCAAACTAAATGACTCAGCGGCTCAGTTCTTCATGATGTCATTGATGGACATGGATGTAATGGCATAACATACAAGCCACATAGGAAGCTGCACTTATACCAGCCGTATTTGCTCTCATCAAGCAATACTCAGGTATTTTTGAAGTGTCCACAACCTTACCCCCTCATAGAGGCGCTTTTGATCACAGAATTCCCTTAATAGTCTGCAAATCCTGTGAACAAAAGGCCATATAGATATCTTGGAATAAAAAAGGATATCATTGAGAATCTAGTTCAAGAAATTATGGACCAAGGGGTAATTCAACATAGTAACAGTCCTTATGCCTCACCTGTTGTGTTAGTAGGGAAGAAGGATGGTAGTTGGAGGTTGTGTATTGATTATAGGGAGTTGAACCATATGATAGTTAAGGACAAGTTTCCTATACCTATTATTGAAGAATTACTTGATGAATTAGGGGGTGCAGTTGTGTTCTCTAAAATAGATCTTAGAGTAGGATACCACCAGCTAAGAATGGCAAGAGAAGACACCTACAAAACAGCTTTCAAAACTTATGAAGGTCACTATGAGTTCTTAGTTATGCCTTTTGGGCTGACTAATGCTCCTTCATCATTCCAAAGTCTTATGAATTCTATTTTTAAACCATTGTTGAGGAATTCAGTCCTAGTATTTTTTGCTGACATTTTAATTTACAGTAGAAGCATATGTCTGCTCATGTTGAGCATGTGAAGGCTGTCTTTGAACTGATGCATCACTATCAGTTGTATGCTAAGATGACTAAGTGTGCATTTAGTATGTCTAAGGTGGAGTACTTGGGCCATTTCATCAGTGCTGAAGGGGCTTCAACTAATCCCAAGCAAATATTGGTTGTACAGAGTTGGCCTGTTCCTTGCAATATTAAACAACTAAGAGGATTTCTTGGTCTTGTTGGATACTACATGAGGTTCATCAAAGGTTTTGGTGCTATATGTGTAACGACCCAGCCGGTCGTTTTGACTGTTAGAACCTCGTTCCCCTAAATAAGACTCCCCGTATATCCTTTTACTAATTTATGACTTGTGGGGATGGTTGGTTCTGGATTTGGAAGTGTTCGGGTTGAAATCGGAGCACTTGGTTCCTTAGTTGACTTTAAAAAGGGCGAGTTTGACTTCGGTCAATATTTTTAGTAAACGACCTCGGAATCGGGATTTGACGGTTCCAATAGGTTCGTATGATGAATTTGGACTTGGGTGTATGATCGGATCGGGTTTTGGATGATCCGGGAGCGTTTCGGCGCCTATTGTGGAAAGTTGACATTTTGGAAGAATTTCATAAATTTGGGTTGAAGTGCATTTCAATGTTATTGATGTCCGTTTGGGATTCCGAGTCTGGGAATAGCTCCGTATGATAATTCTGGTCTTAGCAGCACGTTCGAATGTTAATTTGGAAGTCCGTAGGTAATTTCGGGATCATTTGGCGAAAGTTAGAAATTTAAAGGTTTTTAAGAAGTTTGACTAGGAGTGGACTTTTTGATATTGGGGTCGGATTCCGATTCCAGAAGTTGGAGTAGGTCCGTAATGTTAATTATGACTTGTGTGCAAAATTCCAGGTCAATAGGATTTGATTTGATAGGTTTCGGCGTTGAATGTAAAAGTTTGATGTTCTAAAGTTCATAAAGCTTGAATTGGGGTGCGATTCGTAGTTTTGATGTTGTTTGATGTGATTTGAGGCCTTGAGCAGGTTCGTGTTATGTATTGGGACAGGTTAGTATGATTGGACGGGGTCCCGGGGGCCTTGGGTGTGATTCGGGATGGTTTCTGACCAAGTTTGGGTGTTTTGATGATGTTGGTTGCTGGTTCTGGTGTTGTTCTTCGCGTTCGCGAGGAGCCTCTCGCCTTCGCGAAGAAGGATTTTGCTGCTGGGACTTTGTTCTTCGCCTTCGCGAAGAGGCTCTCGCGTTCACGAAGAAGGAATTTCTGTTGTCCGTCGTCTGAATTCAGAAGCTTATATCTCTCAATCTATAATGAATCTAGAGATGATCCAAAAATGAGAGTTGTAGACCTTGGTGTCTAATATTCTGAAAGGTAAACCATTTATCATTTGGAGTTGCGTACAAAAAGTTATAGTAGATATACTACAGACTATCCGGGAAGAGTTTGGAAATCTCTATTGCATAGGGCTGACTTTGGAAGCTTATATCTTACAATATACAATGAATTGGGAGATGATCAACATATAAAAGTTATAGCCCTTGATGTCTAGTTTCCAAAAAGTCAAACCATTTATGATTTAGAGTTTGGTACAAAACGTTATGGCCATTATACTAGAGGCTGTTTGAGAAGAGTTTGAAAATGGCTTTTGAGAATTTTGTTCATTGCGAACGCGATGGGGATCTCGCGAACGCGAAGAAGGGTCGCCTGGGCAGTGTATAAGTTTGCAAAAAATAGGATTTTGGCCATTTTCACTTCATTTCTGCCATGGGAGCCGATCTTGGAGCGATTTTGGAGCTCCATCTTAATCATCTAATGCAAGGTAAGTGATTCTCACTTATTGCAAGTTAAGTACTTGGTTTATATATGGATTTAAACATGAAAATTTGTAAAAATTTGGGATTTTGAAGAAAAACCTTGAAATTGGTATTTTTGGATTTTTACCACGAAAATGGCTATGGAATTGGATGGAAATGGTATATTTGAGTTCTTGAGGTTATGGGTAACGATATTTTCAGAATCCGGGCATGTGGGCCCGGGGTAAATTTTAAGAATTTTACCATTTTGGATAGGGTAATGTATTTAATAGTCTAATTTCGAATTATTGAGCATGTATTAATTATTTCCTATAACTTTTGGATAGTTTTGGATTTTTCGGCACCGAATTGAGATTTTTTGCGACATTGTGATCGGGAAGTGGGCTTTGAGACAAAGTAAGTCTCTTGTCTAACCTTGTAAGAGGGAATTTATCCCATAGGTGACTTAAATTAATAATTGTTGCTAATTATGGGGGCGTGACGAGAGTCCGTGCATAGCTACTAATATTGCTAAAGTCCGGGTAGTTTAGGACTCAAATCATGAATTACTTGTGATAATTGCTTCTTTTAATTGCTTAAATTACTGGAATTATATTGTAATTTTTTTGAGGAAATAGTAGTAGATCGAAACTTCATATACTTGAATTTTGTGTAAATTATTGAATTGTTAATAAAGATTGAACATCCTACGTGTTAATATTATAAAACTTCTCATTCCGGATATTCATAAGAAAATGTCATCCTTTCTTGTGGAGCGGGCCGAACGCCTCGGCAATATAGATGCATCTATGGATCACGCCACACGTCCATCGGCAGTGTACACGACACTCTGGATTGGGCCGTACGACCATGGCGGAAATCGTGCCTAATAATAATAATTACACGATATCTTGATATTTTATTGCAGCTTGTGAAGCTAATTGATAAATTAGAAATTATTGGAATTGAAAGAATTAATCATTTCCGTTGGTTAAAGAAATTATTGTTATTCCTATAAATTATGTTGATTTAAATATTTCTATTTGAATATTATTGACCCTTAGTGAGTATCAAGTTGACCTTTCGTCACTACTTCTTCGAGGTTAGAGTTGATACTTACTGGGTACACGTTGTTTACGTACTCAGGCTACACTTGCTGCACATTTTTGTGCAAGCACAGATATGTCTAGCGGCCTTGTGGGCGCAGAGGTGTGGTTAAATGCGGGGACTTAGGTGAGTTGCATTCTATATCACGTTCCGCAGCCAGCAGAGTCTCCTTCAGAGTTATTTATATTTTTTCTGTCTAATTTGTATTCCGGACAGATGTTGTATTTTATCTTACCCCTAGTTAATGCTCATGCACTTGTGACACCGAGTTTTGGCAGTGGTTATAGGTTGTTTAGTAATTTAGTTGCTAAAATATTTATCACTTACTATATGAATTCTATCTTTATTATTTAATTGAAGAAAATTTGATTCACAAATACTAAAATGAGTAATTAAATTAATTAGTCAAGGTTGGCTTGCCTGACAACGGTGTTAGGCGCCATCACGACCTTTAATGGGTTTTGGGTCGTGACAACATGGTATCAGAACACTAGGTTCACTTAGGTCTCACGAGTCATGAGCAAGTCTAGTAGAGTCTTGCGGATCGGTATAGAGACGTTTGTACTTATCTTCA